GGGCGCTGTGCGGGTCTCCCGCGTCCATCCTGGGGGGGGGCGCTGTGCGGGTCTCCTGCGTCCATCCCGGGGGGCGCTGTGCGGGTCGCCCGCGTTCATCCGGGGGGCGCTGTGCGCGTCCGCCGTCGGGAAGAAGGACGGCGCAGTTCTCTCCAGCCTTTCCAGCTGCCCTGCGCCCTGGCCCCAGGTCCCCATCAGAACACTCTGAGCGTAGCGGTCTGCCTAACTACGAAGGCTGCTTCAAAGCTCAGGGCATCTAAGGACACTGCGAATGGTGTGCCCGGCTTGCCTAGTGCCGGCGCGCAGTGGGATATAGCCGTGTGATCGAGACTTAGTCCAAGAAAACACGCACGCGCTGGCTGCGCACCGAGTGAGAATGCAAACGTGCCACGACAACCTGTGTCTCTATTGAAATCATTCAATGGAGCTGCAGGTGGGGCGGGGATATAGCTCAGTGGTGCAGCACCTGCCTGGCACACGTGAGGTCCTGAGAGGTCCTGAGTTCGATTCCTGGTACCCCCCCCCAAAAAAAAAATAGCTGCCGCGGCCCTCACTCCTACGCCCTGGCGCCCTGCTGAGCTCCACACTGCATGCTGCCTTGGGGCCTCGCTCTCGAGGCTCCCGCGGGCTCCCTAAGAGGGCAACAGCCCTAACCGCTGTCCCCCCACCAACAGCTAGTGACGAAAATGGGAAACCTTAGGGATCCGTTGGCCTCTTGGTGGTCCCTGGAGAAAACGGAGAGAAGAGTCAGCAAATAACGACAAGAGACAGTAGCTGAGGTCAGACGATGGGCCAAGCCTGACAGGCGCGGGCCCCCAGAACCACCGGAGGGGTGTTTGTTTATACCTTTGGAAGTTACAAGACACGAGGTTGCCTAGCGACCAGCAACCCACAATGTCCAGCAGGTTGTTTTTCTCAAGACTGAGGTAGCTGGACTGCTTGAGGCCTCGGCCTGCCCTCCCATTCGGGACCAATCTCCAGCTTTAGCAGCTTCCAGTGGAGAATGGTTGGTCAAGCTTAGATCATAGGTTTGAGTTCAAATCCACATTTAAGACCTCAGCTCGGTTGCTCATTCTCTGCTTTCTTCTTGCCACCCGTGACACGAGGTAATAATAGCTGAGACATTAGTCCAGGGCGCCCAGGTACAATTGACATCTATTGTGTTGCTCAAGGTGGGTAATGATTTTATCTCTATTTTATACAGGAGAAAGCTGAGACTTTTTCCAAACAATTTTCTCGAGAACACACATAGAAAATGTGAGGGCCCTGGGATTTGAACCTAGGAATGCCTGATCCTAGTGGGGCTTATCATGAGATAAGGATTGTCATGAGAATTAAATGACATGATGGCATACGTGATCTTGGCTATTATTTGAAGGTACACAGAGTGAAGAACAGAGAGATCAGTCAGATTGTCACTAAGCTTTATCAGAATTCCTGGGCTCTGTGGTTTGAATGATTCATCCTTGATTAGATTTATCATTATTATTTTTTTTCTGTATTTTAGGGAAGGGTCTACAGCGTGTTCAGGTCTCACTCCTAGATTAGACTCGTAGTGATTCTCCTGTTTGCAGCCTCCCAAGTGCTGGGATTACAGGCGTGTGCGCCACCATGCCCAGTCTCAATTGCCCTCTCAGTGCGCCCCAGGGGCTGGGCTGGCACAGCAGGTCTGGGGATTGATCACCCTTCATTTGAATTGGCCATTTTTCTTTGTTTTCTAGGTACAAGAGGTTCTACTATCCACGTGGCCTGGGCCCCAGGACTTCCCTGGCTCACCCTGCCTGGGCTCTACCCCTCAACCAATTAAATCAGTCTTTAGGTAGCAGTACGCTACACTCCCCAGGCAAGCCTGATCTGCAGTCAGTTGCGAACCAGGGTTTGGAGGAAAGGTAGGGTCTCCAGCATCTCTAAAGCAGGAAGTCAGGGAAGAGAGGAGACCTCACCGTGGTGGTGACAGTGGAGACCAGCCTGAAGGACGAGCTGGAGTTCAGTGGGAGAAGAGGGAGAGGGGAGAATTTCGGGCAGACCGAGGGCCTCACGTTGGATGGTCATGGCTCACCTCAAGAATGATTCCATTTTTTGTGGGTAGTAGGAATCAAACTCAGGCCCTTGTGCTTGCCAGGTAGGCGCTGTGTCCCCAGCCTGCATCTGGAGGACGGGAGCTTGCCTAGGGTAGGTGGAGCTGGCGAAGGCCTTTGTCCTGCAGGTGCCGGGAAGTGACCCAAGTTTTCACATCTCAGCACTTTAGCACGTTGGAGGGCTGAAGCTGGAGGATGCAAGCCAGAGCTCCGGCTAGGCAGGCTAACAGCTTAGTGAGGCTGTCTCAAAATAAAAGACGAAAAGGGGCTGGTATCAAAAGGACATGGTACTAAGCAGTGGCCCTGGATTGTGCCCGCGCCATGGTGTATGTGGTCCCTCCTGGGACTCATGTGTGGAAAGGCAGCTCCCAAGGTGACCCTGGCTTCTTTTGTTCCTTCAGGACCTGCAGGACGTTGTCATTGACTTGAGAGAGATGCAGGAGCAAGCCCTGCAGAGCCCTGGGGTGAACCGCAGCCTCTTTCTCATCACACTGGAGAGGTGTTTCCAGGTGCTGAGCTCCCTGGAGTGTGTGCAGATCCTGGGCAGGGTGCTGAGGGGGTCCTCGGGCCGCTTGCTCCAGCCCGATGTCACCGAGAGGCTGCCCCAGCACCTGCACGTGGATGCCTTTAAGAACCTGTGAGTGCTTCCTGCCTCCCACTTGTCTCTGTGGTGCTGTGAACATGCCGGGAGGTGACGCCTGGCAGAGAGGGGGGGCCAGGCTGCCAGGCGCCTTCTGCTCGGGCTGCTCCTTGGAGCCTTGCGGAGTAGCAGTCACCCACACCGTACTTTCCTAACGAAAATACTTACCTTAGCTTAACGGTCTGCGTCCCAGTGGCTGCACTGGGGAACACAGGAAGCGACCTCTGCGTTCACCCACTTGGTAGATGGACAGCAAGGTGCACACCCGAGTGCTCAAAGCGGGCGCAGGTGAGTTTTTCCCACCTCACACCTGTGTTACATTTCTGTGCAGTCACAATTTGTGTTGTTGAATGTCTTCTTTTGATTTTCCTGTAGGGTTAGCCCAGCTCTGTACAATATCACCTGAAAATCTTCTTTTAAACTATGGGACAAGGTTGAACGTGAATCTTCGGGAGATGCGGCTATGGATGATGCCTGGGGTTACATAAGCCAGAGAAGTGGCGACAGTGGGGCGGAGCAAGATGTGACAGAGAAGTAGAGAACGAAGACCTTGCTGCCCATGAGGAGGACACCAGGGATATCCAAAAGTGCTTGACTAGTTGAAATGCCGGAAAATGTTATGGGTGAAAACGACTGAAGGAATGCCGACTCGGCAGCTCAGCGTTGGAAACTGTGTGTAACAGACGTGGTGCTACAAGACGCTGTGAAGCACCCTGGGAACACGGCATGAGTGGTAGCCTCGAGATCCTTCTATCATGTCACCTCACTGTCTGAACAACAGCCTTCGAGGCAGGAGTTTGCCATCCTAGTCATCAGAATCTAAAGGATCTATGGAGAAGCAGCCAATATATCACTGAGATTTTTGGAACAAGGGCACTCAAGAGATTTGATTTCCTTCAAAGTTGCCTGCATTTTGACAACAAAAAGACCCACCAAAAAAGGAAAGGATCAGACAGTCTGGCTGCGATTTGCTCATTTTCTGGAAGCTTTGTTTTGAGCTGCTAAGCAGTTTGTACATCGCCCAAGTGCGCAGCAACTGCTGAACAACTTGCTTCACTCATGGCTGCTGCAGCTTTCAGTGGTATAGGCCACATAAGCCTCCCAATATGGCAGGAAAATATATGCCCCCAGGGGCCAGGGAGATGGCTCAGTAGAATAAGCGCTTGCCTAGTAAGCGCAAGGGCCTGAGTTCAATCCCTGGTTCGGCAAAAATAAATAAATAAAAAAAATTACATATATATAATAATAATATATATGGCGGCATATATGCCACCATAGATAGGAAGACATATTACACCTTGAATTTAGAAATGTATTGTGGAGCTCAGCCAACAGATCTTTATTTGTACAGTAATAAATCATAGGAGGTTGACTATGGACAGACTTCTTGCACCTATAGAAAAAAAGTAATCAAAAAAAAATTTTTTTTGATCTTTGGTTAGGTAGTTACCAATTGCTTTTTTTTTTTTTTTTTTTTTTTTGTGGAACTGGGGATTGAACTCAGATCCTTGTGCTTGCCAGGCAAGCACTTATTCTACTGGGCCATCTGCCCAGCCCTCTAGACACCCATTGATTACATTTGCTGAAAGGTCACCAGTTACCCAGCACATGAACTTATGTCAAAAGCAAAGCAGAAATTCCTGGAAAAATATTTCAAAAGCACAACAGAGAAATGTATAGCACAGTCTGGGTTTCAGGAGGACATAACGTTGGCCTTGTACACAGGAAAGAAAAACGAAGCGTTGGTGCTGTCAGTGATAGACCACGATGTTAAGACTGATTGTGAAGCTGGGTGTGGTGTCCCACACGAGTCTAGAATCCGAGCACTTGGGAGGCGGAGGCAGGAGGATTCCAAGTTCAAGGTCAGCCTGGTCCACGTTGTGAGTTGAAGGCAGGCCAGCCTTCACCATGCACTGAGGTTTCTCTCTCTCTCAAAAACAAACAAACAAACAAAAATTCTGGCGCTGAATTCTGTGAACAGACAAGGGAAACATCTCAAGAGCCTCCTAATGACACAGCAAGACCAGGAAGATGTCAGTCATGTCCTACTAAGAAAGGCAGCAGGCGAACTTGTAAGCCCCGAGGTCTTGCTTGGTGCAGACTGCCTTAGATGTGATCACTGAAGTTATTTTTGTTATAGTTTTACTTTATTTCCTTTGTAGTTCATATAGGAATTTATTTTATTTTGTGATTCTGTAAATAAAGAAGTAGTTGTTGAACATGTTGATGCTTATTTTAAAACTTTAGTATGTATTATTATTATTATTATTATTATTATTATTTTGTCTTTTTGAGACAAGGTCTTGCTATGTAGCTCAGACTGGCCTTCAGCTCACTTTGTAACACAGGCCGGTCTCAAACTCTCAACAATCCTTCTGCCTCAGCCTCCCAATTGCTAGGATTGTGGGTATGCATCATCATGCCCAGCCTAAAATTTAATAATTTATTTTCCTGAGTTAAGTACACACTGGATAATAAAACTCATGACTTTAAAACAATCAATAGAAATACTCCTAAACAATAAATGTGGGCATCATATACCCCCTTAATGCTCCTTTTTAGGAAGTTAATGTGATGCCCTCAGCCACAGTCTGTAGAGTAAGGAGACACTGGTTAAAATGGGTTCTCTCAAATTCATGTCAGCGGGGTCAGTTGGGGCTACCCTCAGTTTTTGCCCTATCTAGCCACCGCTTGCACCATGATTTATTTCATTTCTTTCTTTCTTTCTTTCTTTCTTTCTTTTTTTTTTTTTTTTTTTGGTGCAACCAGGGATTGAACTCAGGCCTTTGCACTTGCCAGGCAAGCATTTATTCTGCTGAGCCATCTCCCCAGCCCCATGTTTTTCTTTTTATCAATTCATCCTTTTTACTTAAAACTATTTATTTTGAAAGTAAATTTGAGTGAGGGGGCACACAGCTGCAATCTTGCCATCTTGGGAGGCTGAGGCAGGACTGCAAGTTTTAGTCCCAACTAGGGCAAGTTAGTAACTTAGTGAGACACTATCTTAAAATAAAAAATAAAAAAGAGATTGGGGATGTAACTCGATGTGAAAGCCCTGGGCTCAACTGCCAGTAAGACACACGCACACACACGCACACACACATGCACACGCACACGCACACACACGCACACACACACACACGCACACACACGCACATGCACATATGCACACACACGCACACACACACACACGCGCACACACGTACGTTTTGTAGGATCATCACAGACGGGAAACCATTGTGTATTGTTTTCAATAAAAGTAATCATAATAACAAATGTAATGGAAACCTGGTTAAGTCCTGGCTGGCCTGGGCGCTCGCCTAAGCATCTCAGTCACTTTAGGTGGCTATCAAGAAATGCCACCCACTGGGCACTCAGCACCCCACGCAGTCTCTCACAGCATGGGGCCGAGACCTGCGGGAGGAAGGCGGAGCGGGCGTGGGACTGCTCACGCTGGGAGACAGGGTAGGAGGTAACGGCCAGCTGGCCTTGTTTTATTTTAGATTTACATCTTTCTCCAGTGCTTTTTTTTGTGGAACTGGGGATTGAACTCAGGCCCTTGTGCTCGCCGCTTGCCAGGGAAGCGCTTGTTCCACTGAGCCATCTCCCTGGCCCAACTCCAGTGCTTTTAAAAAGAATGAAAAACGGCTGGAACATGCTGTGCCATACATAACCTTGAACGCATCTTTCCAAATGATGCCACATGCCTATGCGTGTGATCCCAGAGTTTGGGAGGCAGAGGCCAGCCTGGGTACCTGGGCTGTGAGTTCAAGGGCAGCCTGGGCTGTACAGTGAAACCCTGCCTCAGAGGAAAAAAACAAAACAAAACAGCAAGCACAGAAACACTGAAAGCAGGCAGGCAGGCAGGCAGGCAGGCAGGCAGGCAGGCAGGCAGGCATCATGCCCAGTGCAAGAAGCCAGGCAGGCGACGCATTCCTTAGTCGGTACAGGCTCTCGCTGCGCAGCTGGGACTCTAGGGATCTTCCTGTTTCAGCCTCCCCAGAGCTGGGATTACAGGCATGCGCCGCCAAGCCCCGTCTATCTGTTAGTCTTTCGGTATCAAGTGTTTAACAGAGGCAAATCTGTAGCGACAGAAGCGCTGGTTCCAGGGGGGCGGGGAAGACTGAGGGTCAGAAAGCTAAGCACGGCGCGTTTCTTTCTAAAGTGCTTAAAACGTTCTGAAGTTGATGAGGATCGCGATTGTACAACTTGGATTAAAAAGGAAACGGCTCAGTTGTGCCCTGTAAGAGGGTAAGCGACAGGGTGCGTAACGGACAGCTCAGGGTAATCGTTTTGTTACACAAACAGAACGGACCGAGGGGCGAGGACACGGCGACAGTGTGCAGAGCGCCCTCCGTGCGGTGCTGAGCTGCGGGGCGAGAGGGGCGACCCGGGCCGCAGCGCGGCCAGCCGGCGGGAGCGGGCGGAGCCCGGACGACGCAGCCTGCCCGGCCGCTCAGGCGCGCTCCTGTCGCATTCCTAGATCTGCCGCCTTCAGAGACCTCTACGACCACGCCTCGGCTGGCGCCCGGAGAGCCGTCTACGCCTGGATGGCCGGGATCCTGCGCGCATCCTCCAGCGCCACCGGTGAGCCGCGAGGGGCGCTGGGGAGCCCAGCCCCGAGGTGGGGCGCGATCTCTGAGGCTTGCCACGGTCCTCCCCACCCCGAGAGGCCGGATGGGCTCCCGGAGGAACCCCCATTCCCACGCCCGCTTCCAGCGTGGGGTTGCCGGTAGAAGGGTGCGTCGCTTCCGTGGGATTAGCGACGCGCCCTGCTCTTGTAGTGACGTCTTCGATTTGGTTAGAACTTTCGGAACAGGGTTACAAGTTCAAAACTATATACAAATATCCATACAAGGTGTAAAAATATCCGTATGAAGTGGAGACGACATACTGTAGATAGGAAATCTAGGCAGGGCTGCTCAGACGCTGAGCTCTGAGCTCTCCCGCAAGCACGGCAGAGACAGGTCAGGATTCACGTGTTTAATATTTATTAAAAGTCTAGGTTGTAGCATAGTCAAGTTCGTAAAAGAGAAATTGGGATGGTGGTACAGTTTCAATTTGTAAGATGCAAAAAATTCTGGCTGTGGGTGGTGGTGGTGGTGTACAGGACAGTGGGCGGGGGCACAGTCAGCCTCTGTGAGGTCCGCCTCTGTGGATTCGCCGACTGTGGTGGAAGATACTAGAAAAATTCCGTGTGTACTGAACGCATACAGACTTTCTCTTGTCATTATTCCCTAAAGAATGCAATAGAACAACTATTTTATAATGCTTTGTTGTGTGAGGGATTATAAACAATCTCGAGATGATTTGAAGAGTACAGGAGGACAAGTGTGTGCAGACACCACACCACTTTATACAAGTGACTCGTGTGTCTGAGGCTTACCAAATCCTCAGGGGATCTGCAGGGTCCTGGAACCAAGCCCCAGTGGACAGTGAAGAAGGGCTCTAGTTAATGACACCAAAGTGAACAAGTTATATTAAAACACTGAAATTTATGTTGTGCGTATTTTATCACAGTTGGGAGAAAAACCGTGGAAAAGTGTGAATGTGTAGATTAACAGCGCAGTCTCTGAGATCCCTTCCAATGTGTTCAGGGAATGCCAGTGATATAAGTAGAATAAATTATTAAACACTTAAAACAGCCTACAGTGTGTTAGGTGCTGAGAACAGGAGAAAATTTCTGCTGTCATGCACCTATTATTTTATTGTGGAAGAGTGGATAGAGAAAAATTTGAAATAAGGAGGGAATGAGGAAAGAAAGGAGAAAACTTGGATGGGGGAAGCTGCTATGAAGACTTCTTCGACATTCTCAGCCCTGACGCGCGATAGAGACACCACGACTTGGAGGAGGAGAGGTGCACTGGGGCCCCTGCTTCAGCCCGGCCAGCTGGTTTCTGGGAGACAGTGACATGCTGGGAGAAGCTGCGCATGTGTCGTGGGCGGGAAGCAGCAGAAGGGAGACACGCCCTCCTCTCCTCTCCTCCCCTCCCCTCCCCTCCCCTCTCCTCTCCTTCCTTCTCTATGTCATTTTGAGGCAGGGTCTCTCTGTACAGCTCAGGCTGGCCGTGAGTGCACTTTGTAGCCCAGGATGGTCCTGAACTCACAGTGCTCCTCCTGCCTCAGCCTCCCGAGTGCTGGGATTATAGGTGTGCCCACCACACCTGGCTCCACACACCCTTTTGGATCTGGCCCCCAGTGACCTGACCCCTGACAAGGCCCCACCTCCGCACAGCAAGTCAGCTCTAGCGCCCCTATCAGCCACCACGTTTATATCTAAACCATAACAAGAATAAAAGAGATCCATGCGGTAGGAAGGGTTACTGCTTTAGAATAGGGCTTGGCAAATGCTTTGCCTAAGGTGCCCTTAAAAGCTGAACAAATGTTTGCAGTCTTTGGTGTTGTAGTTTGAAAGCAGCCACAGGCCATAGATGGTCGATATCGGAATATCAGGGTGGGTCCCAATCAAACCTCAGTGAAATTTGAAATGAACACAATTTTCATGTGCAACCTAGCATTGGTCTTCTGTGGATTTTCTTCTGGACCATGAAAAAGTACAAAAGCCCTTTAGCCTATTAGTGTGGTTTTCAATCTATCTCTAATAATTGGCTATATCCCCGGCTTTATGATAATTAGCTTTATAAAGTCTTAGAAGGTAAATTGATGCATCTGATGCCAGGACGGTAGAAAGTGGGTGAGGGCGGGGAGTCCACACGCGCTGCACGTGGACCCGAGCGAATGTGATGATCCATCCGGTACTGCGAACACGTACCAAGAAAGGTGAAAAACAAACTGAAACAAAGCCATCCTGGAAAAGCAGGCTGCAGCCGAAGTTCGTCCCAGGGGCTGGTGGTCGGCCAGGTGGGGGGGGGGTGGCCTCAGCCGTGGGAGGCACCGGAGGAGGACGCTGTGGGTGGAGAGACCCAGAAGCAGATGCCTGGGACGGGAGTGAGCTGCGTGTGCGGGGGCAGCAGGAGAAGGCCGGGGGCAGCAGGGAGAGGAGGGAATGCCGGTTCATCCTGTTTCCTGGAATTAGACATTGAGATTTGTGTGTAAGGAGCATTAGCCACGCAATAACCAGTGTCTTAAGTGCACAGAGGAATTCTCTCCGCCTGTAACTGTGGCCACCAGGAATCTGAATTCCGGACCAAGTAACCTTGAGAAAGTGGCTCGACCTCTCTACTTGCCCAAGTCTTTAATGCCAGAATTTAATTAGGGACAAATTTTTCTTCTAGAATTCCTCCATGGTAACTTGCATTATTAAACTGCATGAGTTAAAATTCATTCTGTTGGGACCTTAACTTGTTTTTTCCGTCATGGTCCTTAGGGCAGTCGGAAAAGCTTGGGCTGTTCAAGATGTCCCAAGCTCACAGGCCATTGCTGTGCATAAGTGGAGTTCATGCTGTTAGTTGAAATATAAACAACTCAACATGGCTCTTGGGGGATTCTGTAGCTTTTTTTCCCCCAGATCCTCTACTGCTCTGGGAGCATCCTTTCCTTCATTAGCCACACCAAATGTCAGGAGTCCCCTGGGTTGGGGCGGCACCCAGAGGCTCTTGGGAATCCGCCAGTGGGAGCTGAGCTTCTCTCTTCCTCTTCCCTTCCCTCCTCCTCCTCCTTTTCTTCCTCTTCTCTCCAACTCCGAGGTGGAGGGGGAATTGAACCCACAGCCTTCACACTGAACTGCATCCCCAGACATTTCATTCTTCGTTTTGAGGCATGTTTTGGCTACTTTGCTATGTCGCCTCTGCTGGGCCCTAAGTTGCCCTCCTCCTGCCTGGACCTTCTAGAGCCATGTGCCCTTCTCCCCCTTTCAACTCTGCCCCAAATGCCATTGGCTCCGTGAAAGCTGCAGGTGGATCTTAGACATGGCTGGAAAGCTCCACGATGTACCATTAATAGGGAATTTCCGGGTCCAGAAGAGGGAGTCCGCGGGGAGTTCTGAGGAGCAGAGGACTTCTGGCTAAGGAGTAAGAGAAGCCTTAAGGAAGGCGAAAGGTGTGAGCTTAGTCTTGAAATAGGACTTGGACACAGGTCAGGAGGGGCCTTTGAGGAGCTAGGGGCCCAGCGAGCGGACCTGGAGGACATCTGTGGTGCGTGTGCGGCAGGAGGGGCTTGGCTGCGTGCAAGTGTAGAAAGGCGGTGCTGAAAGGGCCGCACACCAGCGCGCGTGCTCAGTGGGTGACAAGGAAGGTGAAGAAAAGAGCCAGACGTACCTCACATTGCCAGAGTATTTAAGAACTAATTGAACTAAAAATACATGACTAGTTTTACATTTTAACTGTTAAAGAGTCATACGCATGTCTAACAGTTTCTGAGGTCAATGCCTGCGTGTGACACAACGCTTAGAGGCAGGCACCTGAGATGGTTCTCGGAGGACTGAATGAAGCGAGAAGATCCCGCCACGAGAGGCTCCGCTGGCCATCCCGCGGCAGTGTGAACACCTTTGTTCATCCATTCACTTGTGTGTGTGTTTCGTAGATGACTCTGTTTCATGGGTCAGTGCAGAAAACTTATGGATTTTGGGAAGATACATGGTTCACCTGTCATTTGAAGAAATTGTGAAAATTAGTCCTGAAGAAGTAAGTTGGGAAAATACTTTGTATGTCCCCATTACTAATACACCTGGGGTAAGGTGTGCTTGCTCCCTCCCTCCCTCCCTCCCTCCCTCCCTCCCTCCCTTCCTTCCTTCCTTCCTTCCTTCCTTCCTTCCTTCCTTCCTTCCTTCCTTCCTTCCGTCTGAGACAGAGTCTTCCTGTGCAGTGCAGGCTGACTTTGAACTACTTATGTAGCCCATGGCCTTTCATTAGCCCCATCAAATGTCAGCAGTCCCCTGGGTGGGGGTGGCACCCAGAGGTTCCCCCGGAGGATCAAGTCACGATGACCCTCCTGCCTCAGCCTCCCAAGTGCTAGGGTTACAGGTGTGCACCACCATGCCCAAGTGAGGTGTATTCAAATGCTCCAGTATTTAGTCAGCTAGTAAGATTCCCCAGAAATTGTTCATCTGCCTTAGGCCAGCATACCTTCACTTTTTGAAGAAATTCTTGTTACAGGGCCTCAAGTAGTCAGTCGCTGAACTGTGTTCTATCCTAGGAGAGCTAGGAAAAGAAGAATTAGGGACAACTGAGAGTTTGATGTAGATGACAGAAAGGAATGATGACTGTGAACTGAAAAAGATCATTTGCGGGCATTTTTATATGCAAGAAAGGCCAAGGACAACGGCCACGGAGTTTCCAGCTCTTGAAAGTGTGGGCTCAGAACAAAAGTCGCTGGGATTTGTCAGTTTATGCCAGAGATTGCAATTCTTTGAATTTTTGCAATTTCATATATGTCTAGAAAAACTGAAGAATCAAGACTTTGAAGAGAAGGGCTGGCCAAATAGCTCAGCGAATTAAAGCACCTGCAGGCAGGCGCAGGGGCTGGGGGTTCCATCTCTGGGCCTGCTGTGCCGACCCTGCCCCCCGGGGTGCGCTGAGATGGCTAATGAGCCTGGGCGTGGTGGGGCGCGCCTGTAATCCCAGCTGTTGGGAGACTGTAAGCAGGAGAATCACTATGAGTCTGATCTAGTAGGGAGACCCTGAACACCCTGTAGACCCTTCCCTAAAATACAGAACAAAAGAACTTGAAGAGAAAGTGTTGGATGTTCTAGCGCAATGGGCGATCCGGGAACAACCCTGAAGGGCTGCTGGCTACTGCTGTTCGCAGGGATTTCTGTTAACAGCTGTTAGCAGCAGCAGCAGCGTGAGGGCCTGACACTCGCAGCGGAAGAAGAGTGTGCGCATCCAGGTTAGGTGAATGGCCGCTCAGCCGTCTCTCTTTCCGACGTTGACTCTGATCATCATAAATCCCTCGGGCACCGTGACTCTGGGACACAACTTCTAGCTGATGGTGCCGGCACAGCGGTCTTCACAAGGCGTTTGCGCCTCGGCTCCAGGACACGCAGGTGCCGTGGCTTTTTCTCGGCCTTGTTGGTAGGCCAGCCGACCCAATAACATCTGCTTGTGCGCAGAGAGGCAGAACTAAGCTCGCTCCTCTATCAGGGAGACCGGGAGTGTCTGAACGTCTTCCAGCCTTCGTAGCCCCGTGTCCTGGGCTAGCGCTTTCCCCCTCCCACTGACCTTCCCCTTGTCCAGTGATTTTTCAGGAAGTAGAAGTTCTGCGCTCTTAGAAACCTGAGCTCTTGGAAGAACTGCTAAGATCAGGCGTGACTTACAACTTAGCATAAAATGATAATGCATCTGACAATGCAGAGAAGAGTAGGGAAGCCACGAAACACCGAGAGTAAGAGGCAGTTTTATACGGTGGCGAATGTGAGCCACAAAAGAGAGATGACGCTATGAGTTGTTTTAAACACGGAGCACATCACAAAATGCAGTGCAGAATCTGTGAGAATCAGAAGGAAAAAGGATGCCTTTCCTAGAGTAGCAGCAGTGGTCACGTGATCCCCTTGGATGCCTACAGAAGGGGACAGAGGTACAGAGACTCTGCATAGTGCATTTGATACAATTGGACATACATGCACTGAATCGTGTATCTTATGAAGAGAACACTTCGCCCCCATCACAACAGCGTTACTTATAAACTTTCTCGTCTTGTGAAAACTTCTGAGCCAGGCATGGTGGCACATGCCTGTAATCCTAGCACTCGGGAGGCTGAGGCAGGAGGATTGCTTCAAGACCAGCCTGGGCTACAAGGTGAGGTCAAGGCCACTCTGAACAGCATAGAGAGACCCTGTTTCCAGAAGAAGAAAATGAAACAAAACAACCCTAAGAAACTAAAACCAAAACCAAAAGCAATCCAAAATAAGACAAAATTCCTGATTCCTCAAAGCATATTCTCTGACCTCAGTACAACAAAACTAGCAATAGATGAGCAAAAATTAGCTTACAAAGTTTAGCTGCTGGTACAAAAATACTTTAATAGTACAATAGTGGGGCGGAGGGGAAACCAAAGAGAAGCTACAGACCATGAAGAGGCCAAGGCTAGATGCCAGTTTCGAACTGGGGTGTAGCCTGGGGTCTGGGACACAGCCCTCACAAGCCCCTGGCAGGGGTCTCCACGGGCCACCTCTGTCCAGCTCACGGGCCTTCCCCTCTTTGTTCAGATCGGGCTGTTTATCAGCTACGACAATGCCACCAAGCAGCTGGACACAGTCTATGACATCACCCCAGAGCTGGCCCGAGCGTTCCTGGGGAGACTTAGCTCCTCCAGCTTCGACCCGAGGAACACCTCCACCATCCACAGGTAAGAGCGGGCCACCCCCCGGGTGTCCTCAGAGGCGCCATGCTGGCTTGGGGAAAGGGGGTGGGGGCTGGTACCTCTAAACAGTGATAAAGTGGGCAGGGTGGGGCGCAATATGTCTTGGGCGTCTGCTGTGGCCCGGTCATTTTGTGTCACCTTCTCAAGTGCTACCTTCATGGTAGTGGGCCTTTTTAATACCTAGAATGTGGTCTCCTCCAAGGCTGGTGTACTGTTGCATTAGGTTGCATCAAGCCCTGGAAACTGCTCCTGGATCTCCATTTTTGAGAACTTCCTGCTAGATCGGCTGGAGAACTTGCTGGCAGTATTGGGATTCTCCTAGAATCATTCCCAGCAGCCTGGGCCAGGAGCCCACTGCCAGCAGGGGTGGGACCAGGCGAGGGTCAGTGGTCAGAGAGTGCAGGCAGTGCAGCTGGGGTGGTGAGTGACCATCTGCTCTCTGTCCCCCAGGCCCTCACCGACCCTGCTCCCTCTGACGTCACCACACAGGGTGTGCATTTACAAAAGTGTGTCACCACGTTCCCCACCCCTAGTAATGGTCACCCACTAAAAATGGGCTCCACTTCTCTATGGTCACACACACACACACACACACACACACACACTCTAAAACAGACTCATGAGTGTGGGACCTGGGGCCAGACATCCTGGGTTCAGTCCTGGCTGTGTGATCTTGGCCATGTGACTTCTGTCTTCCCCTCTACAACGTGAGGGACAGAACCTGCCTGCCTCACTGAGATCTTTGCAAGGATTAAACAGGTCTGGAACATACGAAGTGCTCAATAAATACTATTATTTCTAAAATAATTTATTTTTAAAATTGACAAAACTGTGTGCACTGGAGGTGGGTACGACGTCTGGATGCACGGGGACACTGGTGGCTGGGGCAAGCTGATCAGTGCCGCCACTGTAGCCCACACTTACCAGTCCTTTTTGGTAGTGAGAACACTTACCCTCTTGGCGACTGTCAAGAGTATAATTCGGTGTGGCGACCCACAGCTATCGGAGCCCAGCTCTCCTCCTCTCCCCCGAGCTTGGTCTTGTCTGGCCCACATTTCTCTTGACAGAGCACATGCCGAGCCACTGCACACAGCAACCGTGCAGAGAAGTCAAGTTCCTGAAGCTCAGACATCGCACAGAGCTGGGCCTTTTTTTTTTGAGGCAGGGTCTCGCTATGCAGTCAAGATGGCCCTGAGCTCACTTTGTAGCCCAGGCCTTGCACTTGCAGCCACCCTTCTGCCTTGGCCTCCCCAGTGCTGGGATCATAGCCGTGCACCACCATGCCTGGCAGACCTGGGCTTTCAGCTCGACATGGCCTGACTCTATTTTTCTTAACCACTAGATGCCTTGCTTCTTCTTGAATCTTTTCTGGGTGCGTAGGTAGTAGGGTGTCCTGGTGACCTCTCCTTCAGGGTAGACAAACCCTGTATCTCTGTGAAAAATGAAGAGTTCTCCGTGACCAATTGAGCACCACCCTTTACCTGCCCCAATGGATGGATCCAGAGAACAGACCCAGCTCTACTGCTAGCCTTGGGCAAGTCACGCGAACCCCGAGCCTCAGTTTGCCCTTCTGTGAAGTGGGGCTGAGGCGAGCTCTTACCTCACGGGGTGGCTGTGCTAAGACAGTGCACGCTAACAGACTCACACAGCACCTGGTGAGTGGCAGCTGTGGCACCCCCGACCCTCTTGGTTGGGACAAGGATGGGTGCGTTGCAGCCCAGCCCCGAGCCCTCCCCCAGCATCTCCTCCTTCCCCACAGGCTGGGGCTGCTGGTTTGTTTCTACCATGACCTGGAGCTCCTGGATCCCGCATTGGCCCGAGCCCTCCTCCACCAGATGATCAAGTGCGGCCGCCTGCGCGGCTTCCAGGCCGGAGTTCAGAAGGTATGGACGCGTCTGCAGCTCCAGCCTTCTGGGGCTGAGGCAGGAGGGTCACAGTTTGCGCCTGGCCTGGGCAACTGAGCAAAATCCATTTGAAAATAAAGAATAAGGGGCTGGGATGTAGGTCAGTGTGAAAGTTCTGCATTCAGCCATCTGGGTGGACAGCAGTGTGTGTAGAAGGTGTCTCCCGGGCCCGGCCTAGTTTACCAGCCCGAGAAATGGGGAGAACACACTTGCCTGGCCTTGAGAGAAAACACATAGCGTTAACTAGGGTCTAAGTCCAGCCATAGCAGGTGAGATGAGAAAGCTGTGGGTGGGGCTAACATCCAGAGGGAAGGGGGACAAGAGACAGCACAGGGAAAGCCTCAGGCAGACGGAAACTAGGTCAGCTCTGTGTAGCCAAGGCCTGCGGAAGGGTCACCAGGCTGTTTTTATTTATTCAGTGTACTTAGTACAGGGTCTACAGGGTCTCACTATACAGATTGGACTCAGAGTGATCCTCCTGTTTTCAGCCTCCCAAGTACTGGGATTCCAGGAGTGCACCACCATGCCCAGCCTCAGTCCTCTCGCAGCTGAGCTGTCTGGGCAGCCCTACTGGGCTGTTTTTAAATTTAGTTTAATTGTATATTTTATTTTATTTTAGTCTCTGGTAACGGGATTGAACCCAAGGCCTTCACGCTGACCAGCATCGCAGGTCCTTCTTATTTTTTAGGTGAAGGCAGGCTCTCTGTAACTGCTAATTCGCCCAGGCTGGGCTCAAAGTCTCCAGCCTCCTGCGTCTGGAACGTGGGCTTGCGTGCCACACCTGGCCGCTTGGGTGGCTCCTGCGGACCTGGGTCGGGAGGCCGGGGCGGGCTGTGAGCTCCTCCTTGGCGCAGCTTGCGGATGACGCTGAGCAGATGAGCACTGGGCTGCGGGTGCCAGCCCGGGCGTGGCCGGAGCACGGGGCGTGATTGAAATCACCTCGGGTGACTCGGCTCAGCTGGGGCGGAGATCCTGGATCGGTGGTTTTATTTAACTTTTCAGTTGTGTTTGCTAACACGGCTTATGATTCTGCAATAGCTTTCTTTTCCATGCCCGAGTCATTCGATTAAATCCACACCAGTTTTACCAGTCCGCTCCTTTAAAGTGGACAGAAGTTCTAGTTCTGACCCTACCGCTGGAGTTTGGGCTGCTTTAGACGTTTCACTCACCTCCCCTCCTGCCTCCAAAGTGTCTGGAACAGGGCCCACTTAGGATTTTCTCGGCCTCCAAATTGGAGGCATTTCTCCACACAGCCTCGCTGTCTGATATCACGCTCTGAATTTGCACCCTTACCCAGAGCGAGTTTGGGACAAATTCGCCAGTTCAGCATCTCTCATTTCCTTCCTCCTCCACCCTTCTCGCGTCTTGCGTCTTCCATGGAGATCCCAGTGGTGTGGTGCTGCTCTTTTGGAGGGGGGAAGCCTTACTGGGAATCAGTCCCGAGGCCTTCACGTGAGCTACACCCCAGAGCCGGGTCTTGCTAAGTTACCTAGGTAGACTGAAACTTGTGATCCTCCTGCCTCAGCCTCCCAGAATGTTAGGTTACAGTTGTGCGACCCCACTTCAATATTTTTCCCATTGAAAAGATGTCATGAAAAAGGGCCAGCCAAATAGCTTAGCGGATTAAAGTGCCTGCAAGCAGGTGCAGGGGCCGGGGGTTTGATCCCCAGGGCTGCCGCCCACCCCGCCCCCTGGGCGCACTGAGAGGGCAATTGACACGGTGTGGTGGCGCATGCCTGTAATCCCTGCTCTTGGGAGGCTGCAAACAGGAGAATCATTAGGAGTCCGATCTAGTAGTGAGACCCTGAACACCCTGTAGACCCTTCCCTAAAAATACAGAAAAAAAGAAAAGATGTCATGAGAGTCATATTAAAGAAGATTTTGATAAAGCATCAATAATTCCGCACAGACTCCTAAAATCCCAGTCACATTCGACTATCCGGATACTTTGGTCGGTATCTATGAGTTTTTGTTTTTAAGGAAAAGAATTTGGTCTCAAGCAAACTCAAGCCAAAATAAGAAAGCATATTTTACGACCACAAAGTGTGTGTGTGCGTGTTCGCTCAGCTAGATTCCTGCAGTTACCCGGAAGGCTCATTAAAAATGCTGAAGTTCCTCTCCCGCTACACTCTGCTGCCCCCCGGCGGCTGCTCCCATATTGCACGGAGAGTCCCGCGCCCCTCAGAAATGAACACATCACTCATGCAAACTCAGGCGTCCAGGCGCAGACCCCAGTGCGTGTGTGTGTGTGTGCGCGTACGCGTGCGCGTGCGGTCATTATTTTCCTAGCAGAAGCACCTGGGAGGGGCACGTGGCTTTAACTGTGCGGGAGCATTGCAAGAAAATATCTAAAACGACCGCAGCTGCACAAGACGTGGTTTCAAGTGAGGAATCTAGACCACGTAATTGTCCTTTGTTTATGACGCGACTATGTAGCTACCGACTTGGGTTACAGGCGCACCTGCTGACGGGCTTTCCCTCCCCTTTCCTTCCCCACCCACCCTTCCCTCCCTTCCTCCTCTACCCTCTCTCCTCCCTCCCTCCCTCCCTCCCTTCCTTTCTTTCCTCCTTCTGCGCTAGGGATCCAACCCAGGCCCCTTTTCATTTTAGCCAAGTGCTGTACCACTGCGTTGCACCCCAACCCCTTATTATTATTATTATTATTATTATTATTACTCTTATTAATGTATTTAGTACAGCGTCTACAGGGTCTCACTACCCAGATGGGACTCGTAGTGATCCTCCTGTTTTCAGCCTCCCAAGTGCTGGGATTACAGGCCCGTGCATCCCACCCAGTCTCATTCGTGGTCTTAGCTCGTCGGGGGCCGCAGAGGGCAGGGCGGGACCGGGATCGCCCCTAATTAGTTTTATGAGCTAGGATTTTCCGAACACTGTAGCTTTCTTGTATGCTGAGAGTAAATTTTTCACAGATGCAAAGTAACATGCAAAAGCCTCCAGACATTTCACAAAAGAAAAGTGGCTCCATTTATGGACACAGAGTTCAAGGCCACCAAAGGCACTTGTATGCTACAAGAATTTGGTGGGCTTGTAGGGGGCAAAATTCCCTCCTGCCACGTTTTAAGGCTGACTTAATAAAACATGAGATGCACGCCGACTGCAGCACATTAAAGCCGGCGTCAGATGCATCCTGGGTGCGCAGGAGGCCCCTCCGCCCGCCGCTCGCCAGGGGCGTTGGTGGGCAGGGCTGGGGGCGGCTGGGGTCCCCCACCCAGAAGCCAGGCGCGAGTGCCCACCCAGCTTCTCTCCTTTCAGCTCAAGGCTGACCTCCTGGACATCGCCACCGAGAACCAGACCCTTAACGAGACCCTGGGCTCTCTGTCGGACGCGGTGGTGGCCCTGACCTCGCGCCAGCTGGAGGCGCTGTCCCCCGAGGCCGTGCGGGCCGCCGTCGCCACCCTCAGCCAGGTGCCGGGCTGGGCCCCGAGCCAGGCCACCATCCTGTCTGCGAAGTTCTTGGCCCGGGAAGAGGTCAGTCGCCACTTGGCGCTTTTCGAAAGCATCCTGAGACCCCGGGGCCGGGGTGATAGTCAGCCAGGGCTACAAGGGACGGAAACTTAGCCTGTCGGGCTCCAGGGCCAGCAAGGCCAGGCCGAGGCTGACCACGGCTCCGTGCGGGCCTCTTCGCGGCTGCACGACTCCACAGGACAAGGCACCCGGCGCGTCTTCTCACGAGGGCACGAGTCCGAGGCCCAAGGCCCCACCGAGCTCGTCACGCCTGGTTCCCTCCCAAGGCCTCGCGCTGCGGTTGGACCTGCGCGCGTGAACTCCGGGGCCACCCGCAGTGTCCCCGCAACGCACAGCGCGAGCACCAGGCAGCGCAAGGCTGGTGTGCTGCGGGCGACCCCGAGCGCGAATCCTCGCCGCCGCGTACTGATCCCGCGGCGGTGCGCAATTGCTCCCCCTCACCTTGCCTCAGTGTCCCTCTTTGTAAAACGCGGTAACGATAACAAGTTGCAGTTTTTACATTTTGGCACCAGGTGGCGCCGAAGCGCGTGAGCACGCGGCGACTGCCGCTGAGTGGCTGATCAAACTGTGGGACCCGTTCTTGCTATTTAAAACCTTATTGATTGATTGATTGTATTTAGTACAGGGTGCACAGGGTCTCACTATGCAGGTCGGACACGTAGTGACCCTCCTGTTTTCAGCCTCGGAAGCGCTGGGATTACAGGTGTGTGCCCCCACGCCGGATCTCGGTTGCTGTCTCAGCGCACCCCGGGGCGGCCCGCTCGGCTTGTGGCGCTGGGGATTTAGCCCTGGCCGCTGTGCTCTGCCTAGGCAGGCTCTCTAGTCAGCTGAGCTATTTGGCCGGCCCGCAAATTTCTTTTTATTTTTGAGGCAGGGTCTCACTTTGTATCCCAGAATGGCCTCGCACTCGCTATGGATCCCCGACTGGCCTCGCACTCACAGCCGTCCTGCCTCAGCCTCCCCAGTGCTGGGATTATGGGCCTGTGCCACCCTCCCCCCATTCTCTGGCTTACTACTGAAGCCGCTCACACAACCAGTGTGGGGTCGGTGTGACATTTATTCTAGTCTCAGAGTCTAGACACTGAAGAAAGGACACTCAGGACAGAAGTTCCCATTTGGACTGGTCTTCACCCTGCTTGCCATGGGATGGAAAAAGCACCTCGTTTTGGGGCAGTCTTCCCGTGTGGGTCCCGCTGAAAGAGCTCCATGCTCCAGAGCCCTGAGCCCTAAGCACTTTCGTGTCCTGTTCCTTCTGTTCCTTCTGTTCCCACCCACAGCTACTTCCTAGGAGCTAGCTGGCTCCTAACAGTTAGACGGGGACTAATTCAGCATGCCGACAAAGCAAACATTTACTTGCTTATTATTTTAAAGAGAAAAATGATTAACAAACAATGAAACTGAGTTTTTAAACAGGTTAGTAGGACAGTCACAATAGCTGCTACACTGAGCACTGACAGAAGCAAACAGACATTTATTTACTTACTTATTCTTGTCCTTTTGACACAGGGTCTTCTTTCCCAGTTCTGGCTGGCCGTAAGCTCTCTTTCCAGGCTGCTTTTGAACTTGCAGCCGTCCTCCCGAGTGCTGGGATCACAGGCGTGCACTACGACGCCTGGCCAAGAAACAGATATTTATGAAGCAGTCAGGGTGTGCCGGCCTTTGCTCTGAGTGAATTGGTTATTTACTCTCCCTACCAACACTTTTTTTTTTTTTTTTTTTTAGTGTGTTTAGTACAGAGTCTACAGGGTCTCACTACACAGATTGGACTCGTAGTGATATTCCTGTTTTCAGCCTCCCAATCGCTGGGATTACAGGTGCACATCACCACGCCCAGTCTCAGTCACCGTCTCAGTGTGCCCCAGAGGTGGGGCTGGCATGGCATGCTGGGGATTGAACCCCCAGTCTCTGTGTCTGCCTAAGCAGGCACTTTAGTCCAATGAACTGCAAGTTCTACAGTCTATTTGGCTGGCCTTGTCGCCAACACTTGCAGGTCCATAGCGCTGTAATCTTCAGTTTCCAGGTAATTCGTGTGAGGCTCAGGCACAGAAAGGAATTGGCAAAGCTGGGATTGAGCCATGCATCTGCCTGCTGAGCCCCCGCAGCCTCTCTGCTGTGGCATCTCTCACCATTTTTTTATAAAAATCTTTATTTGATACAGGGTCTTGGTATCTCTCGCCATTTTTGACAGGAGGTCTGGCTGTCCCGTCTGTCCTGTTCCTTTTGGAGACCTTTCATGTTATGGGGCCCTGACTGGCTCCGTAGGTCCACGCTGAAGTTCCTCTGTGGTTTAGCCTTAGGAAGCCACGGGAGGCTGTTTTGTCCCCCTGATAGCCCTGGACGAAGCAGTCCGTCTCTTCCCCAGTGTCCGGCTTCCTCCTGTGGCATGAGGATGCTTTGACTCAGAAGCTAAGTGCTTCCAAGGCCTTTCTGGGGGACAATGAGAGGCTGCTCGTTCTACAGAGAGAAACTGAGCGAAGCCACTCAGCTGTCTCCTGCAGGACTGAGCCATGTCCTTGATTAAAGGAAAACCGTGTAGCAGCTCTCCTCCAAGGGAGAGGGAGAAGCCAGCAGCGGTTCTCGTAGGATGTCTGGAGAGGGAGAAGCCAGCGGCAGTTCTGGTAGGATGTCTGGCTCAGGTCAGATCTGTTTGCCAATATCAGATTTATATTCCTTATCTCGCCCACGGCTTCTACACGGAGCTAGGTGGGCTGGGGACTTTTCCGTGGTAGGTGCCTGTGAGGTGACAGAAGTGAGGGGCATGAGGAGCTGCAGGGCCAGTGGCCGGGAAAGCTTAGGTCCTGCACTCCCCTGCAGGGCGGCTGCCGTTCAGCCTTTACTGACTGGGCTGGGTGGGAAACTGCCCCTGTGTTGCCTGACGCTGAGATCTCGTGCCTTAAAACAGGAGTTCTTCCCATAAAATAAATTAATCTAAATATTAAAGAGCATCTTTAAATGTCCATTCAAATTAAACACACAACACAGACCCCTGGGCCACTCAAGGGTGCCACTTCTTGACACTTACGCGAGGGACTTCAGTGCCAAGGTGATTCCACCAGCGGATTCCTTAGCACGTGCCCTTAGTTCCTGGATTTGTCACTTTATTTTCTCTGCTGTGGCCAAATACCTGAGAACAACAATGTAAAGCATGAGCGGTTTACTTTGGCTCGCCGTTTTAGGGGCTTCTGTCCAGGGTGGGCCGGTCTCCGGGCCGTGGGCCTGCGGGGGAGGGACGCAGCAGACCATCATGGTGGAGCATCAGGGCATCTTAGGGGAAAGCGGATGCCTCATGGCAGAAAGCAGGGCGGAAAGGAAAGAGCCCAAGGCAAGGGGCAGAGCCGTACCCAGGGCCTCTTCACCTAGTCAGGCCCTGCAGCCTCTTGCGCGGGATCGGCCCCAAAGGAGGCAGAGCCTGCTCAACCCGGTCTCTTCCCCATGGGCTCCTCTAAACTCCACTGCAGTGGGGACCAGACCAGTAGCACGCGGGTCTCCGGGGATGCTGCATGCTGAAATCATTCCGAGATGTCTGCCGGTCCTCACGTGTCCCCAGGTGCCCAGTCCCGATAGCTCACCCTGTCCTCTGCAGGTGCCGTCCTTGCACGACATCAGCCAGATGGGAGTGCTGCTGGTGGGCGTTGGCACCCAGGCCTTCCACGCCATGGACCGCAGGGACCTGGTGCAGGTGCTGCGGAGCGCAGCCGGCCAGCTCATGTCCCGCCTGTCGCCTGTCCAGCAGCACGGTGTCCTCAGCAAGGTGAGGGGGAGGGGTCTGTCCGGCCTCAGCCACTAGAGAGAGGCTCCCTGCCAGGGAGGTGACGGTGTGTGTGAACGGGCGTGCCACTGTGACACGGGAGGAGTGGCCTCGCAGTCACTGGTATGTGGCGAGCTCCTAGCCCGAGGCCTCCTCCTGAGGGCTCGTCTTTCCTTCTCTCAGACAGAACCTTTGCCAAGCTGTAGTTCTCCCCAGACAGACCCTGTTGCCCCCAGCCAGTCTACCCTGGAAGCTTTTTTAAGACAAAGTTTCATGATCTAGTGAGTTTAAAAAAACCTTGCTTTCAAGCCTAAAAGTGAGCCTGGAGTTTTCAGTGGTCCTGAAAAGGCCCGTCTTCTGGGGCCCAGGGTCCCGCCCTGCGCCTTTCTCACCCGGCAGCCGGCCTTTGAGGCATGACTCCTACGCAGCCGGCTGTGCCCAACTGCAGAATCAGTTAAGAAATCACGGCCTGGGCCAGGATGTAGCTCAGCGGTCAGCGCCTGCCTGGCAAGTACAAGACCAAAAAGCACAGTTCCTGGTCCAAAAAAGAAATCAAGGCCCAGGGCTTGCCCTGCACACAAGCTGCTCGTGGGCAGTAGGAGCAGGTGTGGGTAAAATAGTGTGGGTGCCCACGCAACGCAGACGTTGGCCCGAATCCGGGTCCTTGTGCTTGCCAGGCAGGCGCTTAGGCCGCAGAGCTACCGCCTCAGGCCCAACCAGTCACTTTTAGCCTTAACTTTCCCACTCAGATGGGGCTAACGATACCCTCTGCTGCCTGGAGCTGCTAAGAAGAGCCCCGGAGTTTACTGCCCCCAGCAGTCCTCCTGCTCACCCAGATCTCTGCCCCCTTTCGAGAGTCCTCACCATCTTTCTTCTTGCTTTGGACAGCTGAGCGAGGCAGGAGACAGCGGCCCGGGCATCGAGGAGCTGCAAGGGACCCTCTTTAAGGAAGTGTCGCTCTTTGATTTGCGGAGAGAGCGCCTACTCAACTCTACGGTCCTGGAGGAAAAGGAGCTTCGGCGGAGCCAGGTATGGGCGGCCCCACGCGGATCACCTTGTCCTGTTTTCTGGGCAAGGTCTCTTTTAGGACTAATTTGCTAAGAGCACTTTTTTTCTGCAAGATTTCTCCCCGAGGCAGAATAGCACAGTGTTAAGAAGTGGGGTGAGGCCTAGCGTGAACCCTGGCTTCCACTGATTTATTAGCTTTGGGGAGACTTTCTCGTGGGCAGAGGGGGAGCTTCTGGTGAGGATCGCAAAGTCATGCTGCCTGTGTGCTGTGTGCTGATTTTGGCGCTCACTGCGTGTGTGACTAACTACCGCAACGGGCACTGAGGCTGCCTGGGGACGCCCACGCCTGGCCGCAGGGCCTTCCTGTCCCCTTTACCCACTTCCACTTCATTCACTCAGATGTTTACGGAGCACCTACTAGCCACACGCCCAGTGTCGCTCAGGCTCTGGAAAGGCAGCTATGAGCCAAACAAACGCGCGCCCCCTTCCCGGGTGGTCTCGCTCAGGCCTCTCTGCGGTTGGATGATGTTGCAGTGGCTGATTGCTGGAAACAAACCACTGCAAATTCAGGGGCCAGAGGAGTGATCTTACTTGGAAAATCACCCCGCAAGATATTTTGTTCCAGTAGCTGAGTTCATGGGGCTGCCATTTCTTTCTTCTTTTCTTTCTTCTTTTCCTGTCTTTTTGAGACAGGGTCTCGCTCTGCAGCTCAGGGTGGCCTTGAGCTCACTTTGTTGCTCAGGCTGGTGTCGAACTCATGAAGATGCTCTTGTCTCAGCCTCCCTGTGAGTGCTGGGATTGCAGGCGTGCGCCACCATGCCCGTCCTAAGCTGCCATTTCTGGAGATGGGGAAGATCATGAGAGGATCCCTGAAGCTGACCCTGGGCTCTAGGAAATCTCCAGGGCCACACTCAGCGCCCAGGGACTCCCTCCACTCCCTGTCCCCTGGGGTCTTTGTGAGATTTTAAGGCCCCCAGCTGCCTTGTTGCAGAAGCTTCTGTCTAGCGCCGTCTCATAATTTACTCCGTTTGGGGAATTATGTTCAAAGTTTCAAAGTCTATAAAATAGATGAATGCCGTACTTGATCGCATCTGCAAGTTAGGTATACCATAAAATTAGGCTCCTTAGAACAGATGGGTCCCCGGCCGACCATGTAGCGCTCTCCTGGAGCGCTGGCTCCGGGAGGTGCACACGGCAGCGGCTCCGTGCTGACAGCACCTCCAGTCCTGGGCTACCCAGCCGCTGCGGCTTTGGGGCGCCCAAGCACAGCTGGGGCTGCAGCGGGGGTGCGGGGTCCTCCAAGGCCCAGCGGCTTTCTGAAACTCTAGCTCTATAAGCAGGTAAACCTCTAGCTCTGCTACTCTCAGCTTTGCTCCTGTTTGTCCTGCAGAGGTGTAGAAAATGGGCTGGAATAGAGCCTCGTGACCCCTGCATTTACTCTGACACCAGTTCTAATCCTCATGGCCGCTTAGCAAGTGCTTGGTTCTGGTTTAGTGACGTTCTCTGTTGAGTTTGTTTCCACATCTGTAAAATGGACTCATCGAGTGCCTTCCCTACAAGCCTCGCGGTGTGAGGCCCCTCGCGGTCAAGCTCTCTCTTTCCTCAGGCCCTGTTTCTGTATGAACTTCTGTCAAAGGTGACCGGAAGGCCCGAGGAGCTCCTGAGGTAGGAGAAGCTAAGGCAGGCCAGGCTGAAGGGAGGGAGAGGGCCGGGGTCGCCTGTGCCTGAA